GGCGACCGGCCACACCCCCTGGTGCCCGACAACCTCAAAAGGTTGGGGACCACTGCTCTAGAATAATCCTGGAGGTTTGGCAACCTTAAAGTATTATAATAAGTCACAATAGCATTCATGAGTGCTAGTGAATTCAGTGCCCCAATGGCAACCCATATGCTTGTACCTCTCTTCATACTATCTTTGATCAACCTGTGAGTACGACTCCACATGAATTCCCATCCTACAGAAATGCTGACACTCGTTACGCATTTATAAATCCACTTGCTGCCGGGATACATTCATAAAGTATATTATAATAAGTCACAATAGCATTCATGAGTGCTAGTGAATTCAGTGCCCCAATGGCAACCCATATGCTTGTACCTCTCTTCATACTATCTTTGATCAACCTGTGAGTACGACTCCACATGAATTCCCATCCTACAGAAATGCTGACACTCGTTACGCATTTATAAATCCACTTGCTGCCGGGATACATTCATAAAGTAAAACTTTTGGACTCTGAAAGTGAAGAGTCATTTAATTTCTCCTTCACATACCCAGCTCTGTTATTTGCATAAACCATGCCACAAAGGGACAGTAATTACTGTACAATGCCTACAGTTAACTTATTTAAGGAGTTAAGTGCTTGTATGTTGGATAAGTAACAGCAAAGACATTAATCACCTGCACAGGAGGTAAGCACTTTGTATCATTCTCTCTCTCTTTTTGTTTGTTTGTTTTTTTGTTTTCAGAAAGAAGTGTCAGATTGTCACTAACCTGATCATGCTGGTAGCTGCTCTTTTCATGGGCTTCTCTAAGATGGTCAAGTCCTTTGAGATGATTCTGATTGGACGCTTCCTATATGGCATTGGTACAGGTAATACTTCTGTATACATCAAACGGGAGTCTTTTCACTGTCCCAGTCTCCCTTCATTTCTGTCATTCCTTTAGAATTATTTTATATTACCCAACAACTATACTTTGTATGACATAGAAGACACTGACATACAACTTTTGGTCCAAGGGGCAGGGAGAGGAAATGAACAATGGGAAGATCATGTGATGAGATGGTTAACATTTTTCTCAATTTAATGGCCATCTCTTGCTCTCTCTTTCTTTCCTGTCAAGGTTTCTCGCTCACTATACATCCTCAGTATGTAGGAGAGATTTCACCCAAGAAGCTGCGTGGATTTTCAAACTCCACTGTCTCTGTTTTTCTGACACTTGGAAAAGTTTCAGGGCAGATTATTGGACTAAGGTAAAATAAAATCATATACCATTTTTTCCATATAGCAGCAGAAGCTGGTCTAAAGGGTTTTTTTTTTTAATTAAAAAAAATATAAAATAAATGCCACCCTCTAAAATCCTCAATAAGTCCTTTCATCTTCACATTTAAATGTTTTTTGTCTTAAACCAATAGACAGCTTTGACCAATCCTGAGATTTGAATGTTAAGTCATTGGGCATAGAAAAAATACAACAAGTTAACCACAATCTGAATTTTTTCCTTTATAGCCTTGCTACTGAGCGGCTTACCTTAAAAACTTCCTGAGGTTCATTTGAAATATTTTGGTGAGGTCTAGCACATTGGATCACATCTGAGAAGAGTAGCATATTAGATAGCTACTCAGTTAAAAATTAGTATCAGAATTTCATGGACTTCCTAAAGTTCAGGTGGGACCTAATAATTATCATTAGAAAGTTTTCCAAAGTGCTGTTGAGTTTCACAAAATTTGCCAGACTGTTAACCCAGCTACCTTGCTGAAATGCATTCACCACTGCAATTGGGTCCATCTGCTGTCTCTCTTACTTATCATTCAGAGAAAGTTACTGAATACTAATGTACTGGTTTGACCATAAGTGCACTTATACATATATTCTCCAGAGAGCTCTTAGGAAATGAATCGTTGTGGCCATTGTTGTTGGCTTCTACAGGACTCACAGCACTGATTCAGCTGATTCTGCTGCCATTCTTCCCTGATTCCCCATCCTACCTTCTGATACAGAAGGATAATGAGGATGCCTTCATGAAAGGTAAAATGCTTACTTCCCTTATTTCCATAAATTGTCTAATTTGTTCGAATGTAAACCACTATAAGAAAGTCCGTGGAGGGGGAGGGGGAGCCATGTTAGTCTGTAACCTTTAAAACGAGAGGTCCTGCGCACCTTAGGCTGTGTCTAGACTACACCTCTCTGTCAACAGAGAGATGTAGATTAGGCACGTCAAAACTGCTAATGAAGTGGGGATTTAAATATCCCACGCTTCATTAGCGTAAACATGGTCGCCGCTTTTTTTTGAAATGGAGCTTTTTTGAAAAAAAAGGGCAGTCTAGACACGGATCTGTCGAAAATACACCCTTTTTTGACAGATCCTGTAAACCTCATTTTTTGAGGAATACAGGATCTGTCAAAAAAGGGTTTATTTTCGACAGATCCGTGTCTAGACTGCCGTTTTTTTTTTTTAAAACTGTGTTTCGAAAAAAAGCGGCAGCCATGTTTATGCTAATGAAGTACAGGATATTTAAATCCCTGCTTCATTAGCAATTTCAACATGCTTGATTTGCATCCCTCTGTCAACACAGGATGCAGTCTAGATGTAGCCTTAGAGACTAACTGAAATTATATATATTGGATCATGAACTTTCATGGGTTTTGAGGAAGCTCATGATTCTCTCTCTATCTATATTTTTATTAGTCTCTAAGGTGCCACAGGACGACTTGTTTTCACTGCTAGAAGGGAGAGCTGACCCCTCTAAGTCTCTCACTACTTGAATAAACCTGCTCTCTCTACATGCATTTGTATTAAATACATTTTTAAAATGGTGACATTGAAGTCAACTCAGTATTAGTATGAAATGACTTACTGTCGGCCCGGAAGCCAAAACTCTTCTAGTTATCTATTGGACAAGTGCCATCTGGGCAAGAAGACTAGACGTCATTGGCATATTGCCCTCACAACATACACCAAATCATGACGTGGTGAAATTGTTCTTCCTGGCCTCTGAGGATAGGACAAGAAGCAATGGGCTTAAACTGCAGCAAGGGAGGTTTAGGCTGGACATTAGGAAAAAGTTCCTAACTCTCAGGGTGGTGAAGCACTGGAATAAATTGCCCAGGGAGGTTGTGGAATCCCCATCTCTAGAGATATTTAAGAACAGGTTAGATAAATGTCTATCAGGGATGGTCTAGACAGTATTTGGTCCTGCAATGAGGGCAGGGACTGGACTCGATGACATCTCGAGGTCCCTTCCAGTTCTAGTGTTCTATGATTCTATTAAAACAACTCTATGCACAGGCAACTAATTAAGTCTCTGTGATTCAGACAGATTAAAAGGATTTGTTAATAAACCATGATGGAAATGAGCCAGTAGATTAAAACTATATATATATAAATATTTTTTCTTCTGCATAGCCATTAAGCAGCTCTGGGGTGACAGAGATCATCAAGCGGAGATTGATGACATCCTGAAGGAAAAGGCTGCAATTAAAAGCACTAAAAGCTTGCGAGTCCTGGAAGTATTTAAAGATCAGTCCTTGCGCTGGCAACTGTACGTGCTGGTCATCGTCATGACCACCTTGCAGCTTAGTGGCGTCAATGCAGTTGAGTGTTTCCCCTGTGTAAAAACTCGGCGTCGTTGCAAGGCAGCATAGAAGATGGCTAGCTATTTGTTACACTGTTATAGTCCGTGACACATGTTATGCAGGATGTCAGTCTAGGTGATCATCACATAATCCCTTCTGGCCTTAAAATCTAAGAATCTTGTCCCTTTTCTTCCTGGACAATGTGTCTCTGGTGGTTGCCTTTATAACTCTGCTCTGACTTTTCTAGTATGGAATCCTGAACGCATTAGAGAGTCTGCCAGTACAGATGATACCTTCCCTAAATGTCTCTGGTGCTAGTTCTTCCAAAGAGCCAGCATGGGCCTCTTTCTGACATAAGGGAACCTTCCCAGAATTGCTACAAGCAGCATGACTGGGAACACATATTCAATGCCCAGTTCTAGGGTCAGTGTCTACCAAAAGAGGAGATGGACAGAAACACACCAGTTCTGCATCACACTCTGGCTGTGTCTAGACTGTATTCCTTTTCCATAAAAGGGATGGAAATTAGACATATCGCAATTGCAAATGAAGCAGGAATTTAAATCCCCCCCGCTTCATTAGCATAAAAATGGCTGCAGCTTTTTTACAACTCGGAGCTTTGCCGGAAAAAAGCGCCTGTCTAGATGCAGATCTTTTGGAAAATAAAGCCTTTATAAAGGGATAAGGGATCTTTCGGAAAAGGCTTTATTTTTCCAAAAGATCCGTGTCTAGACTGGCACTTTTTTCCGGCAAAGCTCCGAGCCTGAAAAGAACGGCAGCCACTTTTATGCTAATGAAGTGGGGGGGGGGGGTAAATCCCCCCTCAATTTTCAATTCCCGCTTAATTTGCAATTGCGATATGTCTAGTTTGCATCCCTTTTATGAAAAAGGGATGCAGTCTAGACACAGCCTCTGGGTATGTCTAGACTGCATACCTCTGTCGGCAGAAGGATGCAGATTAGGCAGGTCGACATTGCAAATGAGGCAGGGATTTATATATCCCGTGCCTAATTTGCATAAAAATGGCTGCCGTGTTTTGCCGACTCAGCACTTTGTCGGCAAAAAGCAGCAGACTAGAGGGGGATCTGTGGAGAAAGAAAGCCTTTTTCAACAGATCCTATAAACCTCCATGCGGGAGGCATAAGGGATCTGTTGAAAAAGGCTTTCTTTCTCGACAGATGCCCCTCAAGACTGCCACTTTTTTCCAACAAAGTGGTGAGTTGGCAAAACGCGGTGGCCATTTTATGCAAATTAGATTGAGGATATTTAAATCCCTGCTTCATTTGCAATGTTGACCTGCCTAATCTGCATCCCTCTGCCGACAGATGCAGTCTAGACATAACCTCTGAGAAAAGCTCAGCATGGCAAGAGCATGAAGGACCTAGTGAGGGCATGAAGACCCTGAGGCCGCAGATCTGTTAAGAATCCCTAGGGCACCTCCCCCATTGATATCCTGGAAAAGTGTGGCCCTCAACCACTTTCCAAAATCTTGGAGTGGCCCCTATCAAAAAATATTGCCCCCTCTGATGTAAGAGTATATATAATTAATGGAACAAAATACAGGACTATGTAGCACTTTAAAGACTAACAAGATAAATAACAAGATAATAAAGTGATAGGGAATAGCCAGCATGGGTTTGTGAAGAACAAGTCATGCCAAACTAATCTGATAGCCTTCTTTGATAGGATAACGAGCCTTGTGGATAAGGGAGAAGCGGTGGATGTCATATACCTAGACTTTAGTAAGGCATTTGATACGGTCTCGCATGATATTCTTATTGATAAACTAGGCAAATATAACTTAGATAGGGCCACGATAAGGTGGGTGCATAATTGGCTGGATAACCATAGTCAGAGACATATTTCTGGCGCAAGATTGCGCCAGTATAGACATAGCCTGGAGGAGTAACTTGGAATGGCCCTTGTAAAGGGCTATTTCAAAATAGCAGCAGTGGAGTGTCTACACACACCTTATTTCAAAATAGCTATTTCAGAATATGAATTATTCCTCGTATAATGAGGTTTACAGATTTCGGAATAAGTCGTCCATTATTTCAAAATTATTTCGAAATAATGGAATAGCTGTGTAGATGCTGACATTGTTATTTTGAAATAACACTAGTTATCTCGAAATAATGGTGCAGTGTTTATGTACCCTAACTATTGTGAAGTACTTTGGATAAAAGCACTTTATTTAAAAAAGCATCATAACCTTTCCTCAGTTCACTTGAATGGAGTTCTCAGAGCACAGTTTGTGAACTTCTGGTCTAGAGAAAAGCTTGTATTTGCATAAGCTAAGTGAAAAATGTCTAAAAATAAAATATATAGATGATGCATGAATCAAAAAATAAAAGATAACTTCCTCTGAAGAAGCTTATTCAATTTGAAAAAAAGTATTTATTCAGATAGCTTTCTTTCTACACTTTTTCTTTATAAAATTATCAATTAAGTCATAAGTAATATTTTGTAAAGAGGCACTTTCAATTGTCAGTATTAGTGAACTTGTCAAATGTTCCTGACTCATCATATTTTGCAAATAATTTTTAACTCATTTCAATACAGAAAAAAAATGTTCACTAGAAGCATTTGTGACAGCTATTGTTAAAAATATTTTCAGAATGGCTTCTACATTTGGAAAGGTTGCCTGCAAACCGTCGTGTACAAGTCTGTACAAATCAACTGGTGATCTCGAAGCACGGACCTAATCATTTTTAATAAAATAAGTGAAATATTTCACTTCCTCTTCAAAAAGATTTGTGTCTATGTCCTCTTGTTAGAATTCACTCAATTTCTTACTGTAGTAGCTTTTAGCGACTTCATCCATACTTCTGTCAAAAAATGTGCAAAATAAATCAACAGTTTTCTTTAAAGATTCACCTCTATTCTGCAATTGCACTATTATTGTGCTACAAATAACACGTAGGGTATGTCTAGACTGCATCCCTCTGTCAGCAGAGGGATGCAGATTAGGCAGGTCGACATTTCAAATGAGGCAGGGATTTAAATATCCCGTGCCTAATTTGCATAAAAATGGCCTCCACATTTTGCTGACTCAGCACTTTGTCAGCAAAAAGCAGCAGTCTAGATTGGGTTCTTATGTCACCTGCAAGGAGGTATACAGGATCTGTTTAAAAAGGCTTTCTTTCTCAACAGATCCCCCTGTAGACTGCTGCTTTTTGCCGACAAAGTGCTGTGTCAGCAAAATGTTGCCATTTTTATGCAAATTAGACATGGGATATTTAAATCCCTGCCTCATTTGCAACGTCAACCTGCCTAATCTGCATCCCTCTGCTGACAGAGGGATACAGTCTAGCCATACCCGAAGTTGTTACAGGACTACTTGCTTTTTTAAAATTAAAGACTAACATGGCTAGCAATCTGACACTTTGCCTCTCTCAGTCTGACTTTGAAATTAAATTATTGGAGATTGCCTAACTCCTAGAACTGGAAAGGACCTTCAGAGGTCATCAAGTCCAGTCCCCTGCCTTCACAGCAGGACCAAATACCATCCCTGACAAATTTTTGCCCCAAATCCCTAAATGGCCCCCTCAAGGATTGAACTCACAACCCTGGGTTTAGTAGGCCAATGCTCAAACCACTGAGCTATCCCTCCCAAAAAAGGAGCCTCCAAAAGAAGCAAGAAGGGCATGTGCCTAATTTTAAGTATAGTCCCCTTACTAAAGGTGCCTCTTCTTATTTTCTGGAAAGTCCCTGTGTGCTGCAATCCAGCCTCACAGACTACAATTCCCATGAGCCATTGGGGGAAACAGGAAGGAAGTGACTCTTGTGTGGGAGATCAGGGGCTCTCCACATGTGGGACTCTACCCTTGGATTGTGGAAGAGAAGGGAAGCCAGGCTGCTGTGGAGGAGTCTGATCCAGTCCCGGGGCTGTTGGAGTGCAGCTGCAGACGGGACTGGAGGCCTTTGGAGCTGGGATCTAGCAGGCTGCTTCTGATAGGCACAGCACGAGGCTGTAAGCGATTGGGCCGTTTTGGGAAAGTGGTGCCTGGGACAGAGCTGCTGCCTAGCTTGGACCCTCGTACACACTGCCGACCGAGAACCTCCACCACAGCTGCAGCTCCTCAAGCGCGCCCACGCAAGCCAGAGTGTGGGACTCTGAGTCCAGGGGTGCGCACACTCTGGGGTGGCAGTGCAAAAGCTAGATATATATGCACTTATTGTTGTGCACTTTGTCAATGCTGTTCATTGCTAATCTGTTAAACCCTGTTTATTTAAGTTAAATAAAGATTGTTTATCTTAATGTAGTCTATTAGATGTATATGAGTTGTAGTTGTTGTTCAGGAATTAGATCCAGATTTATGTTGGAATGAGTATGTTCCTGGAGGCTCTCAAGGCACACCAGTGTGTGTACAAGGCCAGCCAGATCGAGGCACCGCCATTTTACATTCATTACGAGCAAGGGACTGCAGTAAGGGGGTGGCTAGGGCTTTCCCCAACTAAACACCATCGCCACTGGGATGCTCAGGATCTCCCTTTGGGTTAAAACCATCAGGCGCCCAGGCACACTTGTGAGTGTGACCTGCTCCCGAGTAGCCCGGGGTGGAAAAAGGGGGTTACATGAGTTACCAGTGTGCAAACCTAGAAAGCTGTGGTTAGAAAGACAGGAATGGATAGAGACAGAACTTCACTTATACAAGGAGCTTGTGATTCGTTATCACACATATAGAGAGCCCTAAGTGGCACCAAAATGAACACACCAGTGAACTGAATGAGTGGATGCAACCTCCCCATCAGTAAATTTGCATTGTATTAGAATATTTTTTGTCTGATCTCTGGTTCACACAAGGAATTTCACAGCAGGCCTCCAACATGACTGTTCACACTATCTTCTCTGCATGTTTCAGATCTATTTCTACTCTTTTGAAGTGTTCCGTACTGCCAGGTTTGAAGAAGATCTTATCCCCTACTTAGCAGTAGGAGTTGGCGTGTGTGAATGCCTTTCAGCTGTATTGTGCGTAAGTCTCACTAAACTTTGTAGGAAGAGAGGGATGTGTTCAGAAATAGCAAAAAAAATTAATGTGTGGCTTTGGCAGAAGGGAGCTAATCACTTAGCTGTAAACTAACCAAGAAATTTCCTCCTACCTATAAGCCACATGAAGCTGCGAAAGGCCCTTCCCTCCCATTAACTTTGTCCTCGTTTTACTCTGTGAAATAAGTTTCACCTCATGCTTTAACCAAGCATGGCTTTGTACAGATTACTGCTTTGTGAATAGACAGGAACAGACAGGAAGAGAAAAAGGCACAGGTCCAATGGCCCCTACAAGGGCAAAATAGTGGATTACGTGAAGCCCTGTGAAATTTTGAATTGATTTAGGATTGTGCAGTTTGGCCAGGGGCAGCCCGTCCATATAGGCAAACTAGGCGGTCACCTAGGGCACCAAGTTAAATGGGGCGCCAAATGGTGGCGCAATATCGTTTGAGGGGGTTAGAGGTGAGAGCGCTGATTGCATGGTTCACTTAGGGCGCCAGTTGCTGGCAGCTAGTCTAGGGCCGCCCTTGAGTTTGGCACAGATCTGCATGTAACAAAGGAATTTATATCATTTGCCAAGAAGCTGGTGCATGTCTAATCACTGCCATTGTGGGTCAAAAGATGTTATTGCCTGCAGGGAACGGCTATCAATTGGCTGGACACTTTCCTTATTCAGATCAGGGAAAGTTAATAGCTCCTACCATGGAGGAGACTAAAGTCTGTGAACTCTTTTATCCCCTCAATGTTTAAGGAGTTGCAGTGGAAGCTCTAGCATATATAAGCCTTTCAAAAACATGTGCTTTGAGCCTTATTTTCTGTGATAAGCCTCAGGTTCGAACTACCTATGTGTTGACTTATGATCTTTTCTCATGACACAAGATAATGCAATAATCATTCCTGCAAATAGGGTAGATATATATAGATCTCATGTTGGCACATACAGCACTCTTGGCTAAAAACAGATTATCTCTAGATATCCAGGGATCAAGACTGACACACAGAAATTAAAGTAAAATATACCTCTTCCCCATGGTTTTAAAGAGGAAATATTAAAATGGGAAAATATTTCTGAATAAGTCAATAGGAGATGAAGCAGAATCAGTCCAACCATACTGCATAAATCAGTCTTTCTGGTCTAAAGGCATACTCCCCAGTACAAGGGATGAACTGAAACGTCCATAAAATTCATCAGATGTTTAGAGAGTCTCTCAGTTACTCTCTGAGAAGAATGTTAGCAGAATGGGATGTCATCTGTTCATTTGAAGCCGGAGTTAGCCACATTTGTGCTGGTGTGTTTTCTGGTTTCCAGAGCTGCCTTATCGAGCGGTTTGGCAGGAGAATGCTGTTGTGCGGAGGATACGTTCTCATGATTTTTGTGTTAGCACTCCTCACAATGACTCTCTCACTGCAGGTAAGGAGATTTCCTAATACTTGAAAGAATGGGATGTCATCTGTTCATTTGAAGCCGGAGTTAGCCACATTTGTGCTGGTGTGTTTTCTGGTTTCCAGAGCTGCCTTATCGAGCGGTTTGGCAGGAGAATGCTGTTGTGCGGAGGATACGTTCTCATGATTTTTGTGTTAGCACTCCTCACAATGACTCTCTCACTGCAGGTAAGGAGATTTCCTAATACTTGAAATTGGGGGGGGGGTGTTCAAATAAAAGGGGAGGCACTGGCGACATGCAAGGAGAGTCTGAGGGGCCACGGGGCTCCCCGCAATGTCAATGGTGGGAGGGATAAGGGGGGGGACGTGGCACACAAAGCAGGAGTCAGGCCTCCTCACATTCACCAGCGGCCGCAGGGCAATGCGGCTCCACTCCCCAGCATATCACCCGGGGGAGGGATGGGACTGCCCCCCACACTCACCAGCAGGAAGTGGGGCCATGCAGCCAGCAGCTGGGAAGCAGAATCATGTTGTTCTGTGTCCCCACTGCTGCTGGTGAGTGTGAAGGGGGGTGGACCCCTGCTGCAGCCCCCCGCCCCCCCCTCCCCTAGCCCCATTGCTGGGGGAGGGGGCTAGAAGGAAGAGATGGGGTGGAGCAGCAACAGGGCAAGGGCAGAAAGAGCAGGGGAGGGGTGGGGCCAAGAGTAGAAGGGGGATTGTCCTGACCCTCCCCCAGGTAGCATGGGAAGGAGTCATGAGGAGGAGGTCACATGGCTGGTGCTCCGCTGTGTGCGCATTTTTTCCAGAAGAACGGCTCTTGCGCAAGAGGGGGGGTTTGCACAAAAACGGAACCTCATTAATTATGCAAATGAGGCCTGGCAATATTCCACGCTTTGCCTCATTTGCATATGTTTTTGCAGAAAAGGCTGTAGTTTAGACATAGCCTACCAGTAGCTGTTTACTGAGTGTGAGCGAGCAGACCCAATGCCACTTTTAACGTTCCCACAGGGCTGAGAGCCGAGGTCATGTTATTTATCCCATAGTCGGCTCCCAGCTAGCCAGCCCAGGGAGTTGTGGCCGACAAAGGACATCTGATAGAGAACCCCTGGCGTTTGCACTTGCAGGGTACCAGGCTGTGTACAACTAGGATGGAAACTTCCTTCCTGGCTCTCTGAGGCCTGCCAGTGTGTCATATGACAGTCAGTATTTGCAATCTGGCAATATTGATCAGTCTGGCTCCTCCACTTATATAAATCCATGGTATGCCCACATCTTGAATACTAGGTGCAGTTCTGGTCACCCCATCTCAAAAAAGATCTATTGGAATTGGGAAAGGTACTGAGAAAGGCAACTAAAATGATTAAGGGTGTGGAACAGATTCCATGTGAGGAGAGATTAAAAAGACTAGGGCTTTTCAGATTGGAAAGGAGACATCTATGAGAGGATATGATAGAGGCCTATAAAATCTTGACTGGTGTAGAAAAAAAATAATAAGGGGAGTTTTATTTACCTCTTCACTTAACACAAGAACTAGGGGGTCACATAATGAAATTAATAAACAGAAAGTTTAAAAACAAACAAAACAAAAGCAAGTATTTCTTCACACAGTGCACAGTCAACCTGTGGAACTCCTTGCCAGAGGATGTTTTGAACACTTTAACAGGGCTCAAAAAAGGACTAGATAAATTCATGGAGGTTAGGTCCATCAACAATTATTAGCCAGGATGGAAGGGAGGTAACACCCTTGCTCTTGGTGCACTAGACAAAAGGGGGTGGATCACCAGAGGATACTCTATTCCGTTCATTTCCTCTGAAGCACCTGGAGTAGCCACTTTCGGAAGACAGGATAGATAGACCATTGGTCTGAGCCAATATGGCCATTCTTATTTAAAAATGAATTACAATAAAAAAGTTTAGTACAGAAATTCTCCAAGACAGTGATCTCTCAAGATAGCAGTGATGTGAGAGAACACCCCTAATAAATAAATGCATTTTAAAAATCTTCGTCTACTAGGAAACATATTAAAGCCACTTTCGGAAGACAGGATAGATAGACCATTGGTCTGAGCCAATATGGCCATTCTTATTTAAAAATGAATTACAATAAAAAAGTTTAGTACAGAAATTCTCCAAGACAGTGATCTCTCAAGATAGCAGTGATGTGAGAGAACACCCCTAATAAATAAATGCATTTTAAAAATCTTCGTCTACTAGGAAACATATTTATGTAAGTTTCCCAGCCACTAATCTAGCATTCAGGAGAGGTCACTAAAACGTACTGCAACCAACAAATGCTCTGGCCCCTGTTGCTTATCGTGCCACCATTCGCTCTACTGCTTCATCCCCTGTGGCCCTGGACTGTCACCTTCTGCCCTGTCACCTCGGGGAGTCTGTCTCTGAGATTCCATCCAGGTCTCAGTGTGGAATGTAAGTTTCCCAGCCACTAATCTAGCATTCAGGAGAGGTCACTAAAACGTACTGCAACCAACAAATGCTCTGGCCCCTGTTGCTTATCGTGCCACCATTCGCTCTACTGCTTCATCCCCTGTGGCCCTGGACTGTCACCTTCTGCCCTGTCACCTCGGGGAGTCTGTCTCTGAGATTCCATCCAGGTCTCAGTGTGGAACCTCACTGCTAGTGCGGGCGGGGCTGCCTCTTCCACAGAAACACCGTCCCGCCGTGGTCTAACCTCCTGATGGTCAGTGAGTTGGCTCTAGCGGTCACAAAACAAAAAAAAACCTCTCGGTGGCGCCTAATCAGCCCACGCCACCAAGCAGAACACCTTTGTCCCACCTGCTCTCTCTTCCTGAGGGTGTGGCACCCAAACCTCTTGCGTAGGGAGTGCGGTTCAGTGCTGAATTTGCAGTGAAAAGCAAGTTTGCTACTTTCATAAGTTATTTGGGGGGCATTGCAGCTCTGCCTCCCTTACTTCTGCACTGCCTTCGGAGCTGGGTGACTAGAGCATATGCCCGGGTCTGACGGCACAGCAGCAGCACAGCAGTATGATACGGCAATACCATACCACGCCATCTTTGCTCCCACGCTGCTGCCTTCAGTGCAGAGCCCGCCAGAGACTTTCCACCCACCCTTGCCTGTCAGGGGAGGGCTCATCCAGACTTTACTTACAAATTATAATTTGAAATTAGCCTCGCCAATGAAGCCAAAACTAATGCCCTGACATGGTCGCAAACAACAGCTGTGCGAGGAAGCTCGTCTTGGTTCATCGTTTTCAAACCCATTATGTTTTCTCAGGTACAAATATTGTCTCCTCTATTGTACAGTCTTTCAGAGTGTGTATTATTGTTTCAATTTCAATTCACATTTCCATGCTACGACTAAATGCACAACACTGCATGTAAGCGGGGAGGGTGTTGGGGGCAATTATGGGAGGTGTACACCCCCATAGGGAAATCCCTGCTTTTCAGTATCAGCTCCCATTTCTGATCTTTCCTCCCAGGCAGGGACTTTTCACAACAAAATAACCACCAAAGTGAACGTCAGTCACCATGGTAGAAAGCAGGGACCAGGGCCGGGTTTCCAATTAGGGAAGCAAGGATGGTGGGGATCTAGGGGGTATCAAAAAGTGCGGAGCTGCACCCAAGTAAGGAGGCTGCTGAAGGCACTGGGAGCGTCTCGGCTCCTTTCCAAACTTGGCTGCCTTGGCAAGGAACCCCTTTACTTGCACAGGCAGAGCGGGAGCACAGCTGCCAAGCTGGTCTGTGAGAGGGATGGAAGATACCCAGGGATCGCTCGCCATGGGGAGAGGTACACTGCCCCACTTGCATCTCACCTGGACTGGGGGTGCTGTACCCAGACCGGGCTAGAGAGCCATGCAAAGTGGAAGGGGGCGGGTGCTAAAGATGCAGTGTCTAGGGATGCGCACGGTGTAAAGGCAGCCCTAGAAGGGAGCGTGCTGTTCAAGAGTCTGCTCTCACTTTTCCTTTTTCACTAGCATCGGTTCTTCTGGATGCATTACTTCAGCGTCACGCTGATCTTCCTGTTTGTTATCTGCTATGGAATTGGACCCTGTGAGTACATCCATTTTAGAGAATGGGGGGGGGGGCAGCCAAAGAATTAAAATAACGAAAGAAACATCTCTTCTCCAGCTGGCGCCACAGTAGCCATAATAACAGAAATCTTCAGCCAGTCATTCAGACCATCATCTTTTCTCATTAATGGATGCATCAGCTGGATGTGGCTTTTTGTCCTTGGAATGATTTTTCCTTACATTGTGGTAAGTGACTCTCTGAACCATAAACCTCATGACGCCATCTGGCTGAGGGCACAGGAGTACACTAGTCAAAAGACTATCCAATAAGCAAATGCTTATTGGACAGTCGACTAGTCTTTAACATCCTTAGTTCAGTCCCCTATGCTGAGGCAAAACTAAGTATTAGCTAAACCACCCCACAGACGTGTGTTTCGAAGAGCCTGTACAAAGGTTTCACACCACTCCAGAGGCCCTCAGAAACCTCGAAAAGACTGCTGAGCTACATTGAGGGGAATATGGGCATGTAGTGGCTTGTTTCTCAAGGAAGTGGATGAAGAGTAAAGGGACACACGAGTCGGTAGATTTGATCACTCAAGGGCAGAGGGGCTCAAACCGTGCGGAAGGCCTCCCAAAGGGAGGTAGAGGAATGCGTCCAGGGAGGCGTGAGCTGTGGAGTTGTTGTTTTTTTAAAAAGCTCTGTAGTAAAGGTGACAGGGGCTTGTGTGAAAGGGCCATGCACACCTGGCTGGGGGGATGAGATAAGGGGGAGAGTAGGAGTCACATCACTCAGGCTCTCCTTCTTCACCTCACCAGGAGGTGCCAGGGCTCCAGCTGTTGTCCCCAGGGTGGCAGCAGCAGCACAAAAGTAAGAGTAGCCATGTTTTGAAACGTGATATTGACAAATCACATTGCCACCCCACTGTGCTGCTGCTGTCCTGCCTTCAGAACAGGGCACCCGGCCATCAGCCTGTTCCCCACTCTCTCTCCAGAGCTGGGCGTACGTGGGCAGGGAGGGGAGGTGTGCATGACTGGAGCCACAAGGGAAGTGGGGCTCACTCAAATAAGTCTGAGAAGCGTTGCAGTGGAGCAGTTCTGTGAGGTCCGCTCTGAGGAAGGGCAGGCCATGGCCAGGGAGAAAAACTCCAGTATTAGTGAAAACAGCTGCAGAAGTAGGGAAGTCGTAAATATGAGTGAGACTATTCAAGGTGCACAAAGGGAGGGGCAAAAATTTGGCACAAAAGGGGATTCCCAGCTTTTCCTTGGAAACAGGGAGAGAGCTGAGGGAACTAAGTCCACACCACCCATGAAATCAGCCTCCTTCTAGTAACCTTAATAATTGGGCTGCACCCCAAAGAAACATTATTTATGTGGGTCCTTTGACCACATGGAAAGGCAATGCTCTAAGTATGGGGGATCCCAATTCACTCCCTGATGTGTTCAGGCTAATGCAGTCAGCCAGGAGTCAGAGACTTCTGTGGTGGCAGAGGGAGAGCTGGTTAACTTGTCGGGTCTGACCTCCTGAAAGGTGGATTAGTTTACAATTTTGGCCACACAGAAATGTTGATGTGTGACGGACGTGGCAAGACATTGGTGCTTGGATTTCCCTGGTCAGGAGGGATGTGATGCAGGAGGGTAAAAGGACTAGCTTTAGGACAATTTAAAACCACCGTGGCCTGATCAAATCGGAATGGGAGAGTTAAAGGGGTACTCGGAAAGTAGGAAGTTGTTTAAAACGTACCAACAGCTGTGTTGCCTGAGAATTACGTGATGCCACTGCCCAAAGCTGCCAGCACTGTGACCTGCAACAAGGGAACAAATCCCTGAGTTGGCAGACGTTCCTCCGAGGAGAGAAAGGGAGCTGAAGGGGAAGAGACGTCTCAGCCCCCTTAAAAGGACAGAATGTGTTCCAAGAGAAAGGGGAGGCTCTGTTCCCCACTCCGGCACCTCAAGGGCCACAGGGCCTGCTTAGGGCTGGTGGGGGCGCTGAGCAGCATAGAGAGCTGGCTGCCCCTAGCCCCACCCTTTCTGCCTGCGGCTCCAACCCCTCCACGACCCTGGAGCGCGCTGTCGACTCCCCTGTCATGAAGAGTTCCAAAGGACTAACACTGTGGAGCCACAGCCTGCCCCTCGCAGAGCAGAGCACTGGGAAAAGGAAGCAAAGAATTCGTTCATAAGGAGATAAAACTCATGCTGCACATGGGGATAGTGAAAGTGTCAAACAGTCTCTGGATTTCTCCAGGTGGTACAGTGCTCAGAAAGGATGCGACTGTACGTTCTTGTGTGGATTACACAGACGGCTTAATATCATCACAGTTCCTGAGCATAAGAACATAAGAACGGCTGTACTGGGTCAGACCAAAGGTCCATCCAGCCCAGTGTCCTGTCTGCCGACAGTGGCCAGTGCCAGGTCCCCCCGTAGAAGTGACTTGAACAGGTAATGATCAAGCGATCTCTCTCCTGCCATCCATCTCCACTCTCTGACAAACAGAGGCCAGGGACACCATTCCTACCCATCCTGGCTAATAGCCATTAATGGACTTAACCTCCATGAATTTATCTAGTTCTCTTTTAAACTTTGTTCTAGTCCTAGCCTTCACAGCCTCCTCAGGCAAGGAGTTCCACAGATTGACTATGCGCTGTGTGAAGAAGAGCTTCCTTTTATTTGTTTTAAACCTGCTGCACATTAGTTTCATTTGGTGGCCCCTAGTTCTTATATTATTGGAACAAGTAAATAACTTTTCCTTATTCACTTTCTCCACCCCTCATGATTTTATATACTTCTATCATATCCCCCCTTAGTCTCCCCTTTTCCAAGATGAAAAGTCCCAGTCTCTTTAATCTCTCCTCATATGGGACCCATTCCAAACCCCTAATCATTTTAGTTGCCCTTCTCTTAACCTTTTCTAATTCCAGTATATCTTTTTTGAGATGAGACCACATCTGTACGCAGTATTCCAGATGTGGGCGTACCATGGATTTATATAAGGGCAATAAGATATATTTGTCTTATTCTCCATCTTTTTTATTAATGATTCCTAACATCCTGTTTGCTTTTTGACCGCCGCTGCACACTGCATGGACGTCTTCAGAAATATCCACGATGACTCCAAGATCTCTCTCCTGATTAGTTGTAGCTAAATTAGCCCTCTTCCTGCAAGCTGCATAGAAACTTTTTAAAGACACCATAATAGAGGCCCAACTTAAATGTATAGCCCAAATTAAAAAACATAGTAAGAGACCTAAAAAAGAGTCACCTTGGCTTAACCACCATGAAAAAGAAGCAGTGAGGGACAAAAAGGTATCTTTCAAGAAGTGGAAGTCCAATCCTAGTGAGATAAATAGAAAGGAACATAAACACTGTCAAATCAAGTGTAAAAATGTAATAAGAAAAGTAAAAAAAAGATTCTGAGGAACAGCTAGCTAAAAACTCAAAAAGCAATAGCAAAATGTTTTTTAAGTACATTAGAAGCAGGAAGCCT